CCCCCCCCCCCCATCCCAGTATCCTGGTGGGAAATCCCTTCAACTGCTCCTGCGGGATCCGTTGGCTCCAGCTCTGGCACGAGGGGAACCGGGCTGAACTGGGCAACCAGTCGCTGGGCTGCTGGGAGGGCAACCTGCTGGTCCCCCTCGGTAGCCAACCCCTCCACGCCTGCGGTAGGTGACCCCCGACGGGTTTGTGTCCCCCCTCCCACCTTCCTGAAGCTTGGGGGGGGACGTGGTACCCTCTCACCCCCCACCTTCTCCCCAGCAGAGCCCCCGTCCGTCCGTATCGAGCAGCCCGAGGTGGCCCTGCGGCAAGGAGACAACGTCAACCTCACTTGCCACCTCGCCGGCGAGCCCCCGGCCACCGGGGAGTGGGTGCTCCCCCCCGAGCTGGGACCCAAGGCGTCCGTCGTCACCAAGGTAAGACCTTCTTCCATCGTTCCCACCCATGGTTCCCCTCTGTGGGTCCCACCCATGGTCCCCCTCCATCATTCCCAACCATGGTTCCCACCCATGGTTCCCCTCTGTGGGTCCCACCCATGGTCCCCCTCCATCATTCCCAACCATGGTTCCCACCCATGGTACCCACCTACGGTTTCCCTCCATGGTCCCCCCTCCATGGGTCCCATCCATGGTCCCCCTTCAGCATTCCCACCTACAATCCCCACCCATGGGTCCCATCCATGGTCCTTCTTCCATGGTCCCCACCCACAATCTCCTTTCATGGGTCCTTCTCCATCGTTTCCCACCCATGGTCTCCCCTCCATGGGTCCCATCTGTGGTTCCCCTTCATCATTCCCACCTACAATCCCCATCCATGGTCCCTACCCACTGTCTCCTTTCATGGGTCGTCCTCCATCGTTCCCACCCACCCATGGGTCCCATCCATGGTCCCTCTTCATCATTCCCACCTACAATCCCCCTCCATGGGTCCCCCTCCGTCGTTCCCACCCATGGTCCCCATCTACGGTTTCCCTTCATGGTCCCCACCCACAGTTCCCCCCATCCACAGTTCCCCCCATCCACAGGTCCCATCCATGGTCCCTCTTCCATGGTCCCTGCCCACAGTCTCCTTTCATGGGTTCTCCTCCATTGTTCCCTCCATGGGTCCCATCCATGGTTCCTCTTCATCATTCCCACCTACAATCCCCATCCATGGGTCCTATCCATGGTCCCTCCTCCATCGTTCCCACCCACGGTCCCCCTTCATGGGTCCCCCTCCATGAATCCCACCCATGGTCCCCATCTACAGTCGCCCAGAGGCATCTACAGAGGCAACATCCTCTCATTTTTGGGGCTGCAGGAGCTGGCCTGGGGGGCTAAGGGGGGGGGATGCTGTTTGGTCACCCCATTCCCGGTGTCTCCCCCCACCCCCGCAGCTCTCAGACTGGGAGATCCTCTTGGAGATCACCAACGTCTCCTCCAACCTCAACCACAAAGACCTGACGTGCCGGGCGGAGAACGCGGTGGGGCCGGTGGAGGACAGCGTGACCCTCAACGTCACCTGTGAGCAACGTTGGGGGGGGACACACAACATGGGGGTGGTGTCTGGGCTTTAGGGGTTGGAGGGTGAAACCCACCCACCCATCTTGTGTTGCTTCTCCAAGTCCCCCCCGTCATCCTGCTCCTGCAAGAAGCCATCCCCCAGCACTTCTGGTGCATCCCCTTCTCGGTGGACGGCAACCCGGCCCCCAGCGTCCGGTGGCTCTTCAACGGCTCGGCGCTGGCCGAGGGCCAGTACATCCACACCCGCATCATGGAGGACGAGCCCAACTCCACCGTCCTCCACGGCTGCCTCCACCTCAACCGCCCCACGCACGTCAACAACGGCAACTACACCCTCCTGGTCAGCAACCCCCTGGGATCCGCCGCCCGCAGCGTCCAGGGGCGCTTCATGGACAACCCCTTCAGCTTCAGCCCCGAGGAGCCCATCCCCGGTAAATGGTGGCATGGGGTGGGGGGGTTGCCTTGGGGCTCCCCGCCTTGGGGGTCTCAACGGAGGAGGTGCCCCTACATCTCTCCTTGAATTGGTTGGGGAAATGGGTGGCATCTGGTTCTGCTTGCTGGCTCCCAGCAAGCCCTGGTGTGCCTCAGTTTCCCCAGGGGGGTGTCTCAGTTTCCCCAGGGGTGGAAGAGGTTGGGGGGAGGCCTGTCTGGGGGCTCCCCACCTTGGGGGTCTCAATGGAGGAGGTGCCCCCCACGTTTCTCCTTGCCTTGGTTGGGGAAATGGGTGGCATCTGGTTCTGGTCGTTGCCTTCCAGTGAGCCCTAGTGTGCCTTAGTTTCCCCAGGAGTGGAAGGGGTTGGGGGGAGGCCTGTCTGGGGGCTCCCCACCTTGGGGGTCTCAACAGAGGAGGTTCCTCCTACGTCTCTCCTTGTGTTGTTTGGGGAAACGGGTGGCATCTGGCTCTACTCGCTGGCTTCCAGTGAGCCCTGGCGTGCCTCAGTTTCCCTGGAGGGGTGTCTTGGTTTCCCCAGGGGTGGAAGAGGTTGGGGGGAGGCCTGTCTGGGAGCTCCCCACCTTGGGGGTCTCAATGGAGGAGGTGCCCCCCATGTCTCTCCTTGCATTGGGGAAGGAAATGGGTGGCATCTGGCTTCCTACTGGCTCTCATCAAGCCCTGATGTGCCTCAGTTTCCCTGGGGGGGTCTCTTGGTTTCTCCGGGGGGGCTGCCTCAGTTTCCCCACGAGTGAAAAGGGGTGGGAGGAGGCCTGTCTGGGGGCTCGCCACCTTGGGGGTCTCAATGGAGGAGGTGCCCCCACATCTCTCCTTGTGTTGGTGGAAGAAATGAGTGGCATCTGGCTTCCTACTGGCTCTCATCGAGCTCTGATGTCCCTCAGTTTCCCCGGGGGGGTCTTTTGGTTTCCCCAGGGGGGCTGCCTCAGTTTCTCCAGGGGTGGAAGGGGTTGGGGGGAGGCTGCCTGGAGGCTCCCCACCTTGGGGGTATCAATGGAAGAGGTGGCCCCACGTCTCTCCTTGCCTTGGTGGGAGAAATGGGTGGCATCTGGTTCTGCTCGCTGGTTTCCAGTGAGCCCTAGAGTGCCTCAGTCTCCCCAGGAGTGGAAGGGGTTGGGGGGAGGCCTGTCTGGGGGCTCCCCACCTTGGGGGTCTCAACAGAGGAGGTGCCCCCCATGTCTCTCCTTGAATTGGTTGGGGAAATGGGTGGCATCTGGCTTCCTACTGGCTCTCATCGAGCCCTGATGTGCCTCAGTTTCCCCGGGGGGGTGTCTCGGTTTCCCCAGGGGTGGAAGGGGTTGAGGGGGGGTCTCTCCTGGAGAATAACGACTTTTTTCCTTCTTTCTCCCCCCCTTTGGGCTGCCCCAGTCTCTCTGTCCCCGTTGGGTGAGTGACCGTGTGCTGCTCCCCGCAGTGTCGTGTGTCCCCCCGTCCCCCACCCCCAAACTGCCCCAGTCTCCCCCAAACCGGGGTTGAGGCTGGTCCCCCCAACCCCCAGGACCCACCCCCCAGGGGAGGGGGACCCCCCACCACCCTCACCCTGCGCCCTTCTCCCTGCCCCCAGGCACCAGGAACATCTCGCTGGAGGGGCCGGTGGAGACGACGGATGATCACACCTTTGGGGTGAGGGGATGCTCCAAGTTTGGGGGGGATGGGGATGGGGGGGGGACAAGGACACCCCAAGGAGGGTGGGACAAACCCTTGGGGGGCAACCAGCCAAACCAGAGCCAAGCGGGATGGGGACGTGTGATGGGGATGAAGGACAGAGTCTTGGTGCCTCAGTTTCCCCTGGAAAAGTTCTTGGGGGCTGGTGGCCACCTCAGCCCCCCCCCAGGGCTGGGAGAAGGGACCTGGTGGGACCCCAACCTGCCCCAACCCCAATCCCTGGTGTCCCCAGGTCTCGGTGGCCGTGGCCCTGGCCGTGTTCGCCTGCTTCTTCCTCTCCGTCATGCTCATTGTGCTCAACAAGTGCGGGCGCCGGTCCAAGTTCGGCATCAACCGTGAGTGTGTGTCCCCCCCCGGGACCCCCACCTCACCCCGGTGCCCCGGCACGGGGACAACCCCAGTTCCCACATTGGTGGGGTGACTGGGACTGTGGCACATGGAGGGGAACCCATGAAGAGGGACTGTAGGTGGGGACCATGGGTGGGATCCATGGTGGGGCACCCATGAAGGGGGACTGTGGATGGGGACCATAGAGGGGAACCCATGGAAGGAGACCATGGAGGGGGACCATGGATGGGAACGATGGGTGGGAACCCATAGAAGGAGACTGTGGATGGGGACCATGTGTGGGATCCATGGAGGGGCACCCATGAAGGGGGACCGTGGAGAGGGACCCATGAAGGGGAACCATAGAGGGGAACCCATGGAAGGAGACCACGGAGGGGGACCGTGGATGGGAACAAAGGGTGGGAACCCATGAAGGGCGACTGTAGATGAGGACAATGGGTGGGAACCATGACAGGGGACCCATGAAGGGGGACCATGGGTGGGAATGATGGAGGGGAACCCATGGAAGGAGACTGTGGATGGGGACCATGGAGGGTGACCATGGATGGGAATGATGGAGGGGAACCCATGAAGGGGAACTCTAGATGAGGACCATGGGTGGGATCCATGGTGGGGCACCCATGAAGGGGGACCATGGAGAGGGATCCATGAAGGGGCACCGTGGGTGGGAATGATGGAAGGGGACCATAGATTGGGACCATGGGTGGGAACCATGGTTGGGAATGATGGAGGGGCACCATGGAGGGGGGACTGTGGAGCGGAACCATAAGTGAGGATCATGGGTGGGAACCATGGTTGGGACTGATGGAGGGGGATCATAGATGGGGATCATGGTTGGGAATGATGGAGGGGGACCGTGGATGTGGACCATGTGTGGGGACTGTGGGTGGGAATGGTGGATGGGATGATGGAAGGGGGGACCATGGGTGGGAACCATGGTTGGGAATGATGGAGGGGGACCATAGATGGGAACCCATGGGTGGGACCCATGGAGGGGGGGACTGTGAATGGGACCTGTGGAGGGGAACAGTAGATGGGAACCATGGTTGGGAATGACGGAGGTGGACCATGGAGGGGAACCCTAGATGGGGATCATGGGTGGAACCCACAGAGGGAGGACCCATGGAAGGGGACCATGTGTGGGAACCATGGTTGGGAATGATGGAGGGGGACCATAGATGGGGACCCATGGGTGGGACCCATGGAGGGGGGACTGTGGATGGGACCGGGGAGGGAACAGTAGATGGGAACTATGGCTGGGACCCATGGAGGGGCACCATGGTTGGAACCCATGGAGGGGGACCACGGGGGGGACCCATGGAGGGGCACCATGGGTGGGTACCATGGTTAGGAAAGATGGAGGGGGACCGTGGGTGGGAACTATAGATGGGGATCATGGAGGGAACCCACGGAGGGAGGACTCATGGAGGGGGGACCCATGGGTGGGGACCATGGTTGGGAATGATGCAGGGGGACTGTGGATGTGGACCATGTGTGGGGACCATGGGTGGGAATGATGGATGGGATCATGGGTGGGAACCATGATTGGGAATGATGGAGGGGGACCATGGGTAGGAGCCATGGAGCGGGGGACTGTGGATGGGACCCGTGGGGGGAAACAGTAGATGGGACCCATGGAGGGGAACCATGAGTGGAACCCATGGGGGGGGGACCCATGGAGGGGGACCATAGATGGGGACCATGGTTGGGAATGATGGAGGGGGACCATGGTTGGGAGCCATGGTTGGGAATGATGGAAGGGGGACCATGGAGGGGGCCCTGTGGCTGGGGACCATGGAGGGGTGCGTGTCCCCCCCCGGCAGCGCGGGCAGCAGCTGCTAATTCACTCCTGGAATGGATTCAGCCTCTAAATGGGTTTGATCGGGCTCCGGGCCCCCGGGGGCCA